CGGGATCCCGAAACAGTAGTTAAGACGATTGCTTTACGAGAAATAAAAGAAAATAATATCCTTAAAGAAAGTTCTCATAAAGAAATGGAACAACTTAAAGAAGGAGAAAAAACTTTAGACCTCCGTAAATATGGAAATGGTAAAGAATTTACTGAGGACGAATTATTCTTTATTACTATGAAAAGTTAGGTGGACTAAATCATAGTTTTGCTAAACAAGGAACTAAAACTACTCTTTCTCCTTCTCAAGAAGGTTTTTGAAGAGTTAATAATCCTGCCGCTTGATTGAGTGGATTAGGATTACTTTTACTTGTGGGGGGAACTGTTTGAGCTATTGCAAAAAGAAAAACCCTTCTCCAATGATGAAATGCTCCTTCCGAATTAGAAGAAGAGAATGATGATGATGAGGATGATGATTAATAATGATTTGATTGTTTATTCTGCCAGTCTTCTTTTCTTTCTTGGTCATCATGTGTTGGTGTTAATGCTCGTTTAGTAGTTATGATTTTCCGTTCCTCTTGATAAATTTCATAAGTAATTTTTTCTTGATCTAGATATTCCTGGAGTGTTTGGGTGTCATTGATTTTAAAAACATAGGGAGCAATTTTTTCGCCTTGAGCTTTCTTTAAAATACTTCGAATGGTGCTGTAATTCTTGGGTTCCATGGTGGATTTGATATAAATTAGTTTCATATTAATATTTTTTATATATAGAGGTAATCCTATATTACTCCTGTTATGGTTTATAATCATCCCATTTTGGTATAATAAAGGGAGCATTAAAATTAAGAAGTCCATAAGTTATGAATGAGTACCATTATTACTTTTCAGTCACATTGGTCAATTTTACAGCCACATGATAATCAGCCTCTCATTATGTCATATAATAGAATGTTCACTTTGTCTGGTTTTGTTGCAGCATGCCCCATATCAATCATTAGAATTGGTGCAGAGTTGATAGATTTATAACAGATTTGCTATAGTTAAGTTTTTTTGTCACACACTGTATGTCTAGTATTTTTGTACCATTTTTTCTAGATGTTTTGAAATGCAAAAAGAGGAAAGAAAAAACAGAGTAATAATATAATTATGTACTACATTGCAATAGCTTGATTTAAAATTTCTGCTTCGGGGGTGCTTCATACATGTAGAGGTCAGACTTACGTGTATATTTATACCAATAAATTACATCACTACCAGAGGTAATTTTACGATCCCGTCTTTCCCCTGCTGAATATGGTTTACCTCAGTTTGGACCAAAACAAATTTCGTACTCGTAAATTTCGTAGATCGCCAATCTCTGATAATAAGGATCAGTCAGTCAAGAATTTCACGTGATATTTTACCTACTTATATCTAAATTGTTGTCCACTTTCTCTAAATTTAGTTACTGATTTCGGTTGTGTAATAATTGCGGACAACGCGTATTAATATGTACCGTTACGCAGAAATGTAGGGAGGAATATACGTCACCGCCTTCATGTACAATAAATGAGTAACACAAAAATTACTAGTAAAACATGAAAACTCTCTCTGAAGCTAATTGATTGCGTTTTTCGAAAAAATCTTGATAAAATTATATTCAGTGTGTTACAAAAGTCTTTGGACAATCAGCAATAAAATTACAGTCTCTCCCAGTTCTGTGTGAACATGGCTGACCAATTCATGTTGATATCATAAGAAAACACATTTCTGAAGCTAATAAGGTGCTTGGTAAGAAGTAGCAGCTACAACAAAACCATAATCCTAGACATACAAGCAACATAGTCAAAGAATTCCTTTAAAAATATGTTTCGACTATTATGGACTATCCTCTAACAGTCTTGATCTAAGCCTTATTGAAAATTTATGGGACATTGTCAAAGGAAGAGTGAAGAAACGACAACCAAGAAATATTGCAGAATTACAACACTTACAGTAATTAACTTTTAAATGGATTGTCTAGTTTTTAGCTTTCAGACGAGTATTTAATCAACGCAGCTGTGACGAAGTTATAGCTAAATAAAGACTTTGTAACACACTGTATATTATCGTTATAAAACAGTAGCTCGATGAAGTGTGAGTATACGTCTTACGCATATATAATCATAAATTTGCACATCGTATTTAAAGACAGCTACTTCAACTTTCTACAGTTTTATAACGAGAATAATAATAATAGTATTATTATTATTTTACTAATATATTTATTTATTTATAAAAAATATTTATGAACATTGAAAACATTACAGACAACATAAAAATAATAAAAAAGAATTCTTCTTCTGTAACTCCTCAATTCTATTATCTTCCAACTTTTCCACCTTTTTTCATTCATTCGTAAAGCCTTTTCCACCCCCCGCGAAATATCCTCGACATATCGGCCGCAGTGTAGGCATCGTCAGTAAAACGCTTAGCCACCAAGATGCCTATAGTACAGCTTGGGGGCAATCTACAAGCGCTCCCTTCAGTTGTTGAACGTAACCCGGACCCATATTAATATTATATTACGATATTATTATTTATTTATAATGGCTTGTTTTATAAATAATAGTTATTAGCAACTCCTCGCACATGATCCTTACACTGAATGACATAATATACACAATTATTGTGTGTAGTTCTGTCAGGTCCACCATCGACTAGTCCCCGACTAATATCAAATAAAAAAGATAACGAGTAAATGTATCATCATGTCAACCGATTGAAGAACGCTCACAGCAGGTCGTCCACCGTACGTCAGGGCTGGGTACCTGGCTGGTAGCTTCCGCAAGCTGTGTCCACGAAGCGCTTTCAATTCAAATGATCAATATTCGAGATAATCACCAGTCAGCGTTTCGGTAACGAATATTCGACGTTCGCAATCAAGCTTTGTTGCTTAGATAAACTAATCTACGTTAAAGCACATTGTATAAAGCAATAAAGTTGTACTTTATCACACTAATATTATTAATGTTAGTATAAATGTCTTTGAATAGTATTCTTAAATTTGCCGCACAACGATGCATAGCGAATTTTGAGGACAGTACTTTGCACACATATGAACGGTATTTTCATCATCCATACTGACCAAAGAAACTATTGTTCAAAAAAAAAAGTTTCTAAGGTAGTAATAGAAACGTCGAGCTGTTGGCTGTAGTTCTCAACTATGGTGCGATTTTTGTTTGGCTAATTATTCGACCTCGTTCGTTCGCCCTGAATACCAGCCATTTTGATAGTTAATTGCAATAGACTATGATAAAATGTGGCACTTGGTAGTTACTTTGATGTGGCATTATGTTCGCTTACTATTGTATACTGCATTAATATTTATGTTAGACACGTATCATGACTGTTATATTTATAAAGGCCATAATCAGGTTCCCGAGTTAAAGAGCTTATCAACGCTTTTCGATAAGCAGATCCGAAAGAATTTTCAAAATTCTATGGCTGAAGGTGTCTACCGAAGAAGACTCAAGTGACGAGGAGAAAGTAATCATTGCGTATAATGGAAAGGCAAAGTACTCGAATAACTACTAGTTCACGAGAGAAAGTGATATGAGGTACTTTACATACAGTATACGGAATATAATTCGACGCTTAGTAGTGTCCAAAACGGCAAGCTTTATTTTTTACCAATAGAATTGCACGATTTAAAAAGCCCTATTATATATTACACACAGTAAAGTTAATAAACTTATACTGTGTTGAAGGCAATTGTTTGTATCTTCAAAAAATGACGTAATGGACATGTTTGGTTGATATTTCAACACGTATCCAAATTATACTGAACCAGACGCAATAAATCATGCACTAACAAGTCGCTTTATAAATTACGCAATGACGGTTATAAAACCATTTAGGATGACTTTCACGTTAACTCGAATTACAATAAATCTTCTTCGCAGCAAGAAAAATGCTGACAATGGAGATATTCCCAATTTTAAACTGTCCAAAGGTTGGAGCATTTACTCAAAATTTTGTTCCGAATCAATTCACCTGCAAAAAACAGCACCATAACCAAATGTGATTACTAACTAATGCAATGCCAACAAATATTGGAGAGAAGACAAAACGATTATCTTAGATAAATTGGTTCTTTGAGATCGAATACATTACGCATCACATCGTTTACAATCTTTGAAAGTTCCACTGCGCGTTTCGCAAGTACAATAACAAGTTACAATAGTAAGAAGAAACTTATCTTAAACGATGACGTTCACAGAAACAACGATTTAAAAAACGGGTTAATTTCTCAGATTTTGGACTACCAAAAACTAGGATTATTGCGGTTTTTAATTTTTGCCGAAAATTTCCGTATTGACGGAAGAAATAGATCTTGCGTTTAGACTACGTGTCGAATTAGGCACGTTTTTTTAATAACTCAAAAACGAAAATGAAAATTCCGTGGAACCGGATCATCCATTTCATTACAACGCGCAAAATCGGGATTATAACTTTCTTTTAATATTGTTATACAGGACTGTGTAAAGGTAGTAACTTATCAATACTTTCAATTCCGGATGCGTCGATGTAGACTGTGGGGGCAACGATCCAATGTCAACAGCAGTGGCCATGATGAAGTATCATATCACCTACGTGAGTATTACTGAGGATGTTAAAGAATACAAACAAGTAACAATAAGTAGTTACTAAATTTAAACCCGAAGTTGTTCTTATTATGTATGTGCCCATAAGGTGATTCTATATATGTTTTATTCAAGTGAATGAAAATTTGTACAATCATATAGCTCCTGCAAATGCCCGATCAATCCAAACCACCTTGTTATATAATAAACCCCACCCTTTCCAATTCATCTTTCCTTCATCATGAATAAAGTCCGAATGTGTACCCCAATCCTCCCTATCTCTCTATGCATACTTACAATGATGAACCATCCCGGATAAATTAAATTCTGCATCCTATAATATACCGCTCAGAATTACCCTATTCCATGCCTTTAACTTTATATCTGATCGCCCACTTTTCTCTTAAATCCTTTCTGCTTTCTTCCATCTCAACCCAATCAATTCCCTACGTATTTTACCCGAACGTCCAATTCCCGTCACTAATACTGTGTCTAATCCTGACGACATCCATAACAGTAGAGTAGTACTGTCTCTCGAATCCAGGAACAATAGCAAAAATGAACAACCAAGCACAGCATGATATCGACATTACATGAGTTGCCGCACGAACAATGTCGAAATCTAAGACGTATAGAATTGTATGAAATATGCGGAGAATTGTGTAGATTATTGAAAAACTAAAGGCATGCAAAGGTGGTTAGACAGATTTCAATGTTTGCTCTTATTAGCAATATTAAAACAATCAATACCTGACTCTGTAATCTAATGGAACTTTCTGTGCGGTCGCTATGATAACTGCCGCAAAAAAGCCTTTGTTCAAACGTGCACAAGATCGAATGGTTGTTAATAAAATTAAATAATAACTAATACTGATAATATTAACATCTTGATAGCGTACGGTTCTCTCCGTTAGAATGACCATACCTGGAACGCTCTCTAAGGCCACTTGATGTGCAGCAATTATCCTTCCAAATGGGCCGGCTATAAATCCTCTATTCCTTGGTTCCTATGATCAAGATAACAGCAACACGAGTAAATTAATAAACGATCAAGGAATAGGTTTCGTCTAATCCTTAGGCACCAGCTTAATATTAATTTTTTTAACACGGACAGCAACTTCTTGCTGCTACTTTTAAACATTACTGCTCCCGTACAATCCATCACACATCCTCTATCCCACAGTTAGGGCTGCATCGTCTCTTCCTCCTTCTACATCCACTTTCCATTTCCTTACATTGTTATTATACCCATTGGGTGACGCAGCTGACTGTGCCCAAACGCTTAACGAGGCAGTCACAACGTAGGTCCAAAAGAAACATACTCCTGCCATAACATAAGGCACATCCCTCTTCGTAAAATAATTATACATTGCAGGTAATATGATGTATTCTACAAGTTGCGCTTGCTGCAGCGCAGCCGTAACAAGGAAGCAAATAGGAAACAATATAAAAAACACTCCAGACATTGTTTTTGGGGATATATAACTCCTGTCCGGCAAAGAACCATTTCTATTACGACGTGTTGTTGGGCTACTTATGCGATTGGAAGAGGCCATTGGATTCTGGTGATATTTAAAAACAATTGAGGAATTAGTAAACGGGCAAGAAGAGGTATGGCGATATATGAAGTGGTTGATTTGTATATAGAAGAGAGAAGGTGAATGAGTTATAGTAGAGACAAGATGCGGGGCAGATGTCGCAAATTGAAGTTTGGTGTGCCAAAAGGGAATTTCAGGGATCATAGTTGTCAAGTATTACGACTTTTCTAAACCCCGTTTTCCTACCTCCGAGTATTATCCGAATAAGGCCAGATGCAATTAAATATCAATAATTTGAATGTTAAGGCCAGATGCAATTAAATATCAACAATTTAATGTTAAGGCTAGTACTAGATATCAATAATTTAATGTTTAGATACCGGTTCGTCATTCCGATTGACATGGCTTACAATTTTGTCCACAGAGAAATAGTATTTGTTCAAAAAGTTATCTTCTAAACAGCATTTGCGTAACTAATAAATCCCTTTGTTGATTGTAAAAGTAGAAATCAACTAGGTCAATCCAGTATCCTACTCATATTATAATGTAACCAATAAATACGGAAAGAAAAATATTACCGAAGTATAATCTATAAACCCCACCACCTTCGCAATTGAATCGTATTAACAGTTCTCTGACAAGGATAGACTATAAATAAAGAAAGAAATGCCCTTCATATAACTGAAATCCCATTGGTATACTTATAGTATACATGGAGCTTGCTGCAAGAAAACTGACAAAGTGAACATGATTCCATAGCAAGGCTTTAGTTATTGAATGTCGCAATTGCATTGTCTTCTTTCTTTTTCGGAGCATACTAGTCTAAGATAGTATATATTAGAGCTTGACAAAACCAGATAAAGCATAACAGCAACCAATAGATGTCACAGATGTCCACACAATGGGTCATGGTCTATCTTCAAGTACAAAGCGTTAGAATAATATAAATAATGTACACAGTCAAAGTCGATATAACGGACTCTCGATATAACGGACACTAAGTAAAATCTCAATATACCGGATTGACGTTGAGAACGGGTTATAGTATTTTATCCGCTATACCGAATTTCTTCGTTATAACGGATTTTTGAAAATTTTTATTAATGGAACCGACTGGTCCGTTATATCGACTTTCACTGTGTATTTCTTTTCATAATAATAATAATAATAGTAGTAGTAATAATAATAATAGTAATAATAATAGTAATAATAATGGTTATTCTTCACATACGCTTAATCGTACATATCAGATATTGTTATACCCAATAAAATAATTATTCCGCAGTAAGAATTCGACTTCCCACCCGTTAATATCAATCTCTCTCTATATTAAGCAACATTAGTTAAAAAACCGTTTTCCCTTTATATGAATCCCCTCGCATATATCTGATATTACTATCAACATAATTTTCTCTTAATTATATGATGACATCAACTTTAATATGAATCAGTAATTTAAATTAATCTTACATTTCTGATGATGATAATGATAGTGATGACACTGAATTGAGAAGGCTTCATTATAGGGAAATTCGCAAAAGAGGACTTGCCAAGATTGCAAGTCTATTACGATGCGTTCGACTGAATGTATGCGAGACGACGGGACAGTTTCCTAGCAAAAGTGAGTTATTTAGAGAGAAAAAAAAAACCAGAGATTTTTATCATGAGTGAAGTTTAAAGCGATTGGTTACTGTCGCTTGATATAGATCAGGCGTATTCTGTCTGACTATAGCCTTTTCAAATACTAATACGTTTACCTTTTGTTAGTTAGAGTAATGATGTTTGAACGTTAAATGCTGAAAATGCCCAATGAATAATCGGCTACCGGTCAAATAGTAACGACAAAAATTGATTAAAAGTACACAGTGAAACCAGATATAACGAAGGAGACGGTGCAGACACTTTTCTTCGTTATAATATCGAGGGATTCATTATATCCAGGTTTCATACATATATCTAATTATAGTAATACGCATTATTATATAAAGAAGTTCTGTTATATCTTTATTGTAAACGTAATTCAAGATTGTTCAATATTAACAATTTGGAGGCAAGTGAGAAAATTCCCAACCAGTTTTTAATTTTTAGTAATTTTTTCACTCATTTCTTTTTCTAAATATTGGTTAAGAGCTTACTTTTGTCGGCTGCTGCTCCTTCACTCATACGGACAACCGAATATCTCAAAACAGCTGTGTTTTCCAACTGCCCATTGTCTTTTTTTAAGTTTTGGTTTTCATCTTTCAAATGTTTACGTTCTTGGAGGAATTTATTAATTTTCTTGACTAACTGGTCATGTTCTTTTTCTCACTTCGAGGCTTTCTTTACTTTCCCTTTAAAACACGCCCATAAAACCCACTCATAGGCGAACACATAAACCGGTAAAACATAAAACGTAAAACATATAAAACATACATAAGCGAACGCATAAAAACTCATACATAAAACCCATACAAAGCCGTCCCTTCACCACGGAATACAGTTGTCATCACAAACTCGAGACCATATCTCGGTAAGCCTAGAAATGAATTTTTTGCACGTCTCCGCCACCGATATATTATCTGTTGCTTCATCCACATTCCTCAAATCATCTTCAGCTGTGTCTCATTAGTTTCATCAATAGATATGTCAACTGACTTCGTCATACTAATTATCACCGCATCGACATTCTTTCCAAACATATAACTATAACCTAATGAAGGTAATTGATAAAAAACTTCGAGTTTGTTTAGAATTGTGAAATACGTTTCCAACCCGTATAAAAACTAATTCTCATGAATCGTGTAACATTTCCTTATATGTAGCGTAATTCGATATCACGGAAGAGTGATATTGCGTGACAAGAAAATAAATATAACTGATAAGCGAATTCCTCAATTTTTCGTACTTTTTCCGGAATAACAATTTCCGTGCCATCTTTTTTGCCGATGTCTCAAGTTTTTGACATCTTTACACCAGCTGGTGCTATGAAATCGATGCTGAGCCCCTTGCATCCCGATATTTTGAAAGAAGGCATCAGACTTTATCCATTTACGAAAGGAGGGCGATATTCGATCATAGGTTCGTCATTAAGAATTTCCTTGCTATCTGGATGCATAATTTGCATTCTAATGCCTTTTCATGTTCTCTATAATTGACTTGAATCTTTGGCTTAATATTAAGAAGTAAAGCTTTAATACTTTTAAGATGGTCTGGGTAGATAGGATGCTAGGGCCTACAGAGCGAATGGTGCACGTGAGATTTTTCTTCGAGTCTAATTGTTTACAATTTGAATGCTTAATGTTAATGTTAATGTTATTAAGTAAGTATTCTGCTTCCATATTTATATACACATGCAATTTTGGCCAATGTCCGAGCCCAATAAACAAACATATTAAATGTTAAAAGAACGCGTTATTCAAGTCTTAATATTAATATTATTAAGTAAATCTTTCTCGCGTTCACGTGACACATTATAACTATATGGTTATACAATTCGCCGTCTCATTCGCGCAAGCTTCCTATCCAATGCTTCGACTAGTGCGTCCAACCATCACAAAACTCAACTTGCTACGAAGCCTTTCGTCAGGAACGAAGCTCTTTGCTAGCAGTTATTCAACATCTAAAAGTCCACAAAGCACAGATGAGGCCAGTTTGTTGGCATCAAAATTTAAACATGATATTGAGGTATTAAAACCATATTTCCGCCCTGATTCAGCTGAATTAGACATCATTCCTTCGGTCGAAGGTACGAACTACACGTTTAGCAGTTCTCATAAAGGGCTGAGACTTACGGCTAAATATTGTTAGACTTGGCTTTCCCAGAGAAGTATTTTCTCGCAGAGAAAGCAGCTAGAGACGCTGGAATCGTGTTGGAGAAGAAAGCATTATCAGGGTCGAACGTGATGGATATAGCCAAAATTTTGGAAGACGAGGGCATGGATGATGTAACAGTACTTGATGTAAGGGCAAAGTGCGATTGGACAAGTTGGATGATTATTGCCACTGGAAAGAGTGTGAGGCATATGAGCGGTGTTGTGGATGATGTTTATAAAGCGGTGAGTCGTAATAGTTATGGTAGTGAAGAGCGAAACTATGAAAATGACTGGCCATAACAAGGTGACTCTTGTCCGCGTTCTGTGCTTGTACAGTTTAAAAGTTTCATAAAGAAGAACAGGGATAAGTCGGATCTTCAGTCGGCTTCAGATAACGTCTACCCAATAGTCGAGGGTCGCGACTCTGAAGATTGGATTCTTGTCGATTGTGGTGATGTAGTGTTGCATCTGTTCATGCCTGAAGCTAGATCAATGTATGACCTAGAGTCATTATGGGGAAGTATTCCAGAGAGTGTGACAGCAGGGCAGACTATGGCAGGCAATGTTAGAAAGAGTTTGGATGAATATGATCCAAAATTTAAGAAACGCCCACCGCTCCCTGTATAACCTGTTGTTTTGGAAAAAAAATGTAAAGGTATGGGAATATCAAATGTGGATTTTTAGACATGTATTCACACCTGTTTAGTAAAGTCTGCTATAGTAAGTTTACTCTATACTAACTATTTTCCAGACCCAATTCATTTCTATCAAAATATCATCCGTCGGCTAAATTAGACCAAACCTAATTCCTAATAATGTCACTTCCATATTAGTTGATATTGTCTTTGTATGTTGTTGCTCAGCTGATATCAAACAATTATCTCATATAAAAACTTGACAATGTCCAAACTTTGGATGAACAGTAAACAAGATTAGTACAATGTCAATAATAATGTTTACAAGAAGGGTTTAACAATCAAGTTCAGCAAAATTGTTTCACAAATCAATAGAACATTAAATGGGGTATGCTGCAACAAAACCAAACAAAGTGAACATTTGGTTATGTGAATTCAAAATAGCTAGTATGGCTTAAAATCAACCATTACCTTTTGCTTTTCACAGGCTGATTTGTTTCTGGAATCTGTCAAAAATGTGTCTGTCATGGGCAGGTATTGACAACTCCCGGTTCTAATTCAGCACTCATTTCGGATAGCTTAATGCTTATAGGCTGGTGTAGTCTTACTGAAATTAGTACTGCACGATTACACATTACACTTTTCAACTTTTTTCTGAGTGCTCTATATTTGTAACATCTCGGACAGACACATTTGAAATTAGGTGAAAATGTGTCATTTGTGTTAAAATAGTATTATGTTACGGTCGGGAATTAAATAGGGGTTTTGGGAGAGCGATTTATCTTTTCGTGTAGGTGTGTTCACCGACCGGGGGATGTTACCAGGCTTAGCTCGTACTATCGCCCTTACTACGATAGTTGTGCAATTAAGACCGAATTAAGCCTCAAATGACCTATTTTAATTATGCGCGCTATCCGAGTTTCAAACACTCGTGAATACAAATAAGGATACCTCTAATAGAAAAAGAATCGAAGGGGAATTATACTACTTATAAAATTTAACAGGGGTATCTTTGATTTGTTCGTCGACTAGTCGGTATCCATCACTTGTTTTTCCTAAACTAATTAAACAATAATCGCCTCGATAATTAATTATGAACTCTCGTTCCGTTATTATTTTGTGCTGTTGCGGATTTTTCGAAACGTTTTGCTATTATTGTGCCTGTTGCGGATTTTTCGACACGCGCTAAATTTCGAAGTGTCGATCATGCGGAGGAAGATTTTATCATGTGACTTACTTATCTGATCAATTACATCTATATTTTGACAGATTTCTAATGTATTTGGGGCATGCTGCAACAACACCAGACAAAGTGAACAAACTATTATGTGATATAAATGAGAGGCTAAGTGACTGAAAGTTAACATAGGATTATGTCTATATAAAATATAATATGAAACTATTTACATAGAAGTATTCTAAAAAAAGAACAAGGAGAAAAAATTGCTCCATACGTTTTTAAAATTAATGATACCCAAACACTCCAGGAATATCTAAGATAAAGAAAAAATCACTTATGAAGTTTATCAAGAGGTCATTGATTAAGCCACTAGTATATTACGGTATTAGATCACATTGCGCAGCACATCTTCTAACTAAAGAAAAAAAAGAAATGGCAAACGTTGCAAGAATCGACCAAGAGCTGAACGAGGCGAAGGTTGCGGTGACAGCGTTCGAAGGAAGGTATGGGCAGAGACTAACGTGGTTCGAAGATAAGTTGTGGAGCGACGAAGGAACAGAGGCGCAGCGGGAAGAGTGGAAGAAGGAGAAGGATGAACTGAAGGCAGAGAAGAAGAGGCTGGAGGACAACGTGCAGAAATGGAGTGGCGAGATGCTGAAGAGGAAGACCTGCGACAGGCGCAGGCTCAGCCAGGTAACGACTTTGTGACTCGGGCGTTGGGGACATAGAGTAGTGTGTACTATGTACGTAGGGTATAGTAGACATGGTAGCAGGCCTGATGCATGATGGTTATTCTTATTGCGATTATTCTTTTTCTCACCGCCTGTTATATTACTACTATAACGCACTATGTAGGAAAAAGAAAGATGGACGAAGAATGTAAGAATTTTTAACTGGCAAAAAAGACAGCAAACGATGATCAAGAAAGGTATGTGCACCACTCATTCGTTTTACATTTGCAAAAATTATTCAATTTATTTCTTCACCATAACAGATGGTGTTATGCTTCATGCAGGCAACAAGCTTTTTATTGGACACAGTGTCTTTGATGAAGTCGTGAACGGCAATCATATATTTATTGACAAGATGCATTTGATTGCTGAATTCCTTGATGAAATGGACCTTACACATGTTGCTCTTGTTCTGCACCCAAGAAGATTTGGCAAGACGACAAACATTACAATGCTCCAAATTTTCTTGCTATACCAATCCACCTGACAATGAACAATATTGAAGGGCATTGTTCAAAGGCACTCTGATTAAGACATGTGATATTGGACAAGACCTGTTTGAGAAACACTTCTGCAAACATCCAGTCATTAGTTTCTCTTTAAAAGTAAGATTGCAATAGAGGTGAAATTTTTGGTAGACCAGCTAAGAACATAATTCTTAAAGATGTTATTGGAGGTAAAGATAAAAAGATTAAGGAGTTGGAAGCAAAGGTAGAAGAGTTAGAAACTAAGCAAAAAGAATTGGAATTGAGAATAGAGGAAGTAGAAGATAAGGTAGAAATGGAATGCAAAGAAGCTGAGAAAGCATTAAATACAGCTATGAAGTGGAGAGAATGCCAAGTGAAAAAAGTAAGATGATCTATGTTTCAAGAAAGAAATAATTTTTGAAAAGAATAGAGGTTTTAGAAAGTAACATTAGTTGATTAAGAAATAAAGAACAAGTTGTCAAAAAATATGAGAATAAAGAATTGCCAATCTTACCTAAAAAGCAAAGCAGATGATCAAAGCTTAAACAATTGGTAAACAGAGTTAAAGAAAAGAGTAAGGAGAAGTTCCAAACTTACATTATTCAAAGAAATAAATAGACTAGTATGAGTTTAGAATATTAATATAGAGTTTTGGAACTAACAAAAAGGGATGAGCAAGAATGCAGTTATTGCTTTATAGATTATAGTAATCAAACCAACCTTGATTTTAGCACTACTTCAGCTACCTATCAGATGGTAGCACACACCAAGGCAGAACAATACTTTGATACAGTATATCCTTTATTTGTAAAGACTGTAAAATTGAATATGATAATGGTGCCCTCCCAAGATGTAAGGAGTGTGATAGATTAATGAGAAACAAGAGTTTTTGTTATTGTCATAAAGAAAAAGAAAGATTCAATCTCTTACTGAAAGCAAATCAATTTCTCAATCTTTCAATTCTTGTTTAGAAAAGAGAACTAGTGAACTAGAAAAAGAATTAACTACTACTAAAAAGGAATTAAAATCATAGAAAGGGAAGAAGTAGCCAAGTTTCACAAAAAATCTAAGGAGTAAGGTGATGAGAAAATAAAGAAAATTAAAGAATTACAAGAAGTCACTAAGTTAAGGGAAGAAAGCCAACACTTAAAAGAGCAATAATTGCCCAAATTGAAGTTAAAGAGACTAAAAAATGGCCTTGATTGAAATTGAGGAAGTAATTTAAAGATTAAGATTGGTAAATTTATTAAGTATTTTCTTTACTTAGATATTCCTCAAGAATTTTGGTATTATTGATTTTAAAAACGTATGGAGCAATTTTTTCTCGTTCTTTTTTTAGCATACCTCTAACAGTGCTGTAATTCTTTGGTTCCACAGTGGATTTAATGTAAATTAGTTTCATATTATATTTTTATATAGACATAATCCTGTTAACTTTCAGTCACTTAGCCTCTCATTTATATCACATAATAGTTTGTTCACTTTGTCTGGTTTTGTTGCAGCGTGCTCCATTTAACAAGTATACATGTCATCCGTTTTTACATAATTGGATTTTGAATTTCAAATGATAGGCTGAAAGGCATTATTTGAACAAGTGGACTGCATGCTGAAATTTGTCAGATTTAATGATGGTAGTTTTGGACTACTTCTACCTGTGTATTGGTTGAACCATTTAAACAATTATCTCAAGCAGATGCAGAGCTATTTGAAAGCATAGCTCAAGACACTGTTGTTAAATTTGATCTTCTGGAATATATCAAACAGATGTACTCAATAGAGACAAAGAAAATGCACTTTTGATAAACTTGCCCCTGCAAGGATGTGCAACCTACTATTTTTATGGACAAGTTAAGTCTGTCAGCATTTTATTTTCTCTTATTATGGAGGTCTACAAACGAAAAATCTTGGTCTAATCAAACGAATTTATCGAATTCTTGACTTGTTTGCGATGTTCTTTGGAGAACTAGTATCAGAATTTTTGTAAATTTTCCTTTCATACGTTCAATACAAATTAACAATATTCTAATATCGATACGGTAGCGGACGATTTAAATGCCATACATTATACCATACCATTTATGTTTAGGGCCGAAAAGACGAATCAAATTTTCCCATCTACCAAAATTGAAACTATGCGAAGCCAATCCCATCCGATTCATACTTACTTATTTCATAACAAGTCGCATTAACTTACATCAGGAATACTGGTGAAGTCATCTGCTAACAAAATTTTGGTAAAATTCATAATTAATATTGTCGAGTCGTCACGCGAGAACGAATAATAATTGACCTTGGAATTTAACTTCCTTTCAAACGAAGCTGTGTTTATCCTACTTAAGTTGAATATAGCAACAGTTCGTGACCTTTAAAACCAGGCTTTTACTACTCACGACACAACGTCGATCGGTAGACGATAAATAATCGTCGTATCATCACTATTCCTTACCGATGGGATTAATCTCGGTAGTCTATAGGTTCGGGATAAGTTTATAATTATAACAAACGCGTTTCCACTTACAAAATTATCTCGTAATACCATAAGAGCAAGAAGCGAATACTCCTAAACAATATAGGGATTAACGGTTTGTCAGCACATCGAATAATACTATGGAAA